TCTAAATAACTGACCACATCCATCTGTTCGGTCAAACTATGTACTCTCTCCTGTCCAAAGGACAGTGCTATCTATAGACCCAATGCACTCAGATACAACCCTCCAGAGAGAGAGAGGTGAAAACTTAGAGAAGCCTGTCCATTATGAGCAGGTCAGGCTGAGTGAGACAACAGAAGGACAAAACTGTATTAGTTAAGGTGTGCAACAAGACTGGTATCTGAACTAGTGTCTAGCAATAGAAACAAAAGCATACATGCTAAATTGATAGGAAGAACACAGAAGAGCTCAGCCCTTGGGCAGCAAGTGGAGTTAAATTATTCCATTCCTCCTTCTGATTGATGATAAAAGCAAGGAAAGGTCAATCATGTTTTAATGTGTGTGGGTAGGTGTGTGCACCAATAAGGGGGTCCATGCACTGCCTTTCTTTCACTGCACTGAAACCAGTTTTGATTAAGGTTTGTGGAATCAGACTTCGATCTGAACATATGGCAAAAACTATAACAAACATCTTAATAACTTGAAAACCAAGTCAAACAACCAACTTGCTTTAGGTTACAGCATGTGACAAGCTAGGACATGCAATGTCTACCTCTAAACTACAATACATAAAAGGAGTGAGATCACCTTAGACAAACGTGCACGTAAAGTGTTCCATAAGGCTGGGGAGTCATTTTCCCTACATCTTTTAACTCTGGTAGGCTCCGATCCACCTTCCACCAAAGACTTCTTGACATCTATGGGAACTGGAGCCACCCTCCCACTCAAGGGGGCCACTTTTGGGAGAAGAACCTGTGCAGCTACACACCAAGTGAAGCCACGCTTCAGCCACTTTAGGAGGTCACATATGTCGTTGTAATTGGTTAAAAAGTCTTAAGCAGGCTGGTTATGGATGGATAATCATGAATAAAAAGGATGTAAGCCTTTTTCTTTCGATAATCTCTGTGTTTGCGTAGTGTATGGATACACACATACATGAACTGGGGATAAACTCAGTTCTATTGTTTTGAAAGAAGATGAAAAACTAGCCTTGAAACAGAATGAACTGAACAAGCTGGCACTTACAGACTGGACTACAGTTTAGAAGCATGTTATCAATAGCTTGGATAAGATACCATGTTTAATCTGCTCCACTTCCATTACATGGCCAAAACCAGCTATTTATTCTGTTAAGGATGTGGTGTCAAGTTTCAGTTTGGCATGTTTAGCAAAATACCAACCATTGACAAACAAGGTAAATCTGAAGTCTCCTTTATGAGCAAGAAACAGCCCCCTCTTTTTAAACTCAATGTTACTCTATGCCAGGGATATAAACAAGAGTTGAGGAATTAGTACAATGGCTCCTTCAACCCTTCCAACACGAGGACATAAGCCAACATGGACTGCAGGGTATCTTCTATTTAAAGAAGAGTGGCTCTCACATCCAAAACAGCTCTCCTCTAGCTACTTGTTTTCACAGTGGTCACAACTGAAGGTAAGACTGAATATGCACATTTCATTTCAACCTCAAAGAAAAGAAAGAGAGTCAGCTATTGTCTACCTGGAACAATGCTTTGGTGAGTGGCATGGAGAATTCTCTCAAACGTGTTTTGGTAAGAGCCATCATGCTGCCCCCTGAGCATCTATTGATGGACTATTTTTATGAGAGAGAGGAATAAGCTAATGTTCTTGTTGAAGTGTCTGTTAAAGAGATGTCAGTGACTCTGAGGGATATTAAAGACAGACAAAATCTGCAGTATACAGCAATATCCTCTTAATGCTCTGAAGGGGTAAGATCAGAAAAGGGGTGAAGGATGAGAGGCAGTGCAATACAGTGCAACGTGAGAGCTCCACCATTTTTCTTAACAAATGGAAAAGGTAAAACAGATACTTAGCTGTGTTAAGGTAAATATCAAGTTATAGTAACCCCAGGGGAAACGGATCAGAAACCACATTGCAAAACAAATCAACCAATGCATTGTTACAGATTTCCTGAGTGTTTTCACTAAAAATGTCACTGTTAAATGGGCGTAACAGCAGGTTGCCTTCCAATTGAACGGAAAAAGGAAAGTTGCAGTTTTTTGAGTCTTCCAATGTCTGCGACTCAGATTACTCAGCAGCAGCAGGCCTCTTGCACAGGCATGGGCAAGCCCAGACAGAAAGGGGGGCCAAAAATGGTAATTTTTTGATTACCATCATTATCTCTGGCAAAGGGACGCCTGATACCAAAAGTTCGCCTGGGGTTGCCAGGAGTCTAGGTGCGATGCTGCTCACTGTGCTCTGGCATATCATCTGCCTGGATGGTCTTGCTAGTGGAGCAGCTGCTCAGGAACAACAGCAGCACGTTCTCAGATGAGTACTGCCTACCTTAGCAGCGTGCTCCCCAGGGCCCAGGTTTTATGGACTCCACGGCACAGTGGCCTTTTCTCAGCTTGATTTGGCTTTTAATTAATTTGTGAGGCTTTGCTTCTTGAAGGCAGACGATTTATTTTAGTAAGTACTGGGGCAACAGTGCATTGGCACAAGTTACCCAGGAAAATAAACAAACATAAGCTACCCTGACTCTAAGCTACAGGCCTGACAGGTCTATTTTATTTTTGTTTAGATGGGTATTAAGCTGTCTCAGCATTAATTATGTATATGTGCGCATGGCATACATATTAGATGACAAATTAATCTGAGAAACTAGTGAAACTCCCCTTTCACTGGTTTACATGGGGTCTTACCTTATGTCAAACACATACATAGCTCTTATAAGCAGCCCTAACTGTAAGTGAGCGTGTCACACTATATAAACAGAAGGCAGGCTGCCCATCAGATAAGTTATATTAAGGGGCCAGTGAACTGTAAGTAGTTTAGCTGTATCCAAACCAAAACTTGAATGACTTCTCCTAAGACCAAAATTCACTATTAGTTCTCTGAGCCTCAACCCAAAAACAATTTGTCATCCTCCACTTCTCCAGCCCTCAGGAAACAGTCATTACTCCTATTGTTTTATGTGCCTCTCCTCCCCCTATGAATTTATATAGAGATCTTAACTGCTATTGGCCATGAAGTGAATCCTTTTGCCCAATTTTTTAAACCTGGTTTTTTGTCATGCTTGCAAGTGTGAAAATGAGCCCCATCTATACAAATATGGAGATTGAGAGTTGTCATGGGTAAGATGCCCTGGATAACCATTAAACGCCCCGGGATGTGCAAGGCAATTTTAGGGAATTTCTGCTGGCTCAACCTATACAATATGATCAACACAAGAGTTAGCGAGTATATCAAGGGAAGGTGAGGAAGTCCTACTGAATTCACTGTCCTCAGAAATAATAAGAGCCATGATTTCTTTTTGAATTAAAGTTAACTCTACTCTTTTGAGTGGAAAAACACCACTACTGGAAACTAATGTTCTCGGTCTGTCTGCCAATATTTTAAGAAATGGGATTAACACTTCTTCACTAATCCTGAAGTCCTTAGAAACAGAGTCTCAGCCTCTGGGCCCTTGTGCAATTGCTACAGAATCTCCATCTAGATGCTTCTATTTCTGCTGTAATCATAATTATGGTTTTAAAACAGCAACTTCCACTAAACTCCAGTAGCTTATTACGCATGCCTCTCGAACTCAGAAATGCTGTGCATATTCAGTCTTACCAGGTAGATGCACGGTCTGGAACTGATGTGAACCTCACCACTGGGTTCTCAGCCTTTGTCCCTTAGCTAAAATACTAAAGGTGACCAACATCAACAAAAGGAAACAGTAATATTGAGAAGCAGGGTCTAAGCAGATCAACAGGAGGATGGCACTACAACCAGCCATTGACAAGTTTGAGCCAAGCTGGGAGAGGACGGTGTGGTGTTTGGGTCAATTTACGATCAGGTGTTCAGAGTAAAAGAGAAAGCATTTCAACCAACTCACCGTGGGCAAATGGCTACTCTGAGTCTGCTTTCTCTCAGGAAAAGATCGTTTAAGAAGCTCCCTGGAGTCTGGGCCCCATACAGGGGGTTTGGGTAGTACAAGGATGAAGGAGGGAGGAAAGAAGGGAGGGTTTAAGGTGCTCACACCAGAAGTCATGTGACCAATGCAAAGGTAGCCAGGAAAAAAGCAGATTTTTATAATAAATAACCATCCCAGCTGCATTAGTGTTCCAGATACGTACTTATCGAGACCCTCTCTCAACCACAAAACCGCAAGAATGGGAAGTGGAAAACCACTCTGACAGCTGATGGCACAGTCCTTTTGATCCATGAAGAGAAGTTCTGATGCTGATTTAAGGCCCACATTCTTTGAATTTCCTGGATAAATGAACAGGGCCACTCCTTCCCCCCACCCTGTCCCAAATCCAAAAGGGAACAGAGGATACAATGGTGCAACGATCGTTAGCATGCCCATTAGCAAATCAGCTTCTTGGTAAATTTTACTTTTGAGCATGTGTGGTGGCGAGTGGGAATTTTCAGACTTAAGTACACACATTACAGTTGCAGCTTTCCCCACCCTCTTACTTCACTGAACACAAGTCCCAGGGGACTGATATTTCCTTTGGTAAAAACTGTAGTCAATGTTATGGTCTCGAGACCAAACATAGTGGGTACCAGCGTCTCCTCTTCCACTTTTCCCCTGCCTCCCTGAATCTTACCCATCTGTACCTTCTACCACTCCAAAGCCGTTACTATGGGCAATTTATATCCATGCAGTATTAATTATAGCCCTAAAATCTTCTGCACAGACTGAAGTCACAGAGACACCAGACACACCAGAATATCTAGATCTATCCAAACCGGTGGGGTGAGGGCGGGGGACCTGTTGGATTAGTAATCCCCTGACATTGTAAATAGAATGGCAAACCAAACAAAAGAAACTAGTTAAAAAAAAAAAAAAAAAAAAAAAAAAAAAAAA